ATGGTCAAATAACGGTTAAAGATATTTTCGCAACCAATAAAAATGTAAATGAATATCAAATTATACTCTGAAAAAAATGCCTCCATTTTTTTAATCAACAGTCGGGAATCTGGTATTGCACAATAACAAAATTGTATTGTGAATTGGCGACACGCAATCGTGAATTCATGTCCATATTTCCTGAAGTATTTTTATATTTTGTACGTACGTTTTTTAGGTCACCTGGTTTCTTTGCTATAAACAAATCTTATATGTTTAAATGCCACCACTTATACTCCGTTCATTAACCCTAACGATGGCAAAATAACTAAATAGAGTGGGGGCACACTGACCTCCTAACAATCTAAACTTTTTTACCTTGGATCGATCGAGCAAACCATATTGTTAATAACGTCTATTTGTACTCGTACATATAAAATGATCGTAGCCATATGTACTCAAATATTATAATTAACATTCTGCAGTTTGGAACCAATTAGTAAACTGGGTAAGTTCTTCAGAACACCGTTATAAGATACTGGAATGTACGTGAAAGATTTGTCGTATTTCGTCACGGCGTCAGTTCAACAGTTTTGTCTAATTTAATACCCGACAGCGGCGGAGTCAAAGCAGGATCGTTATGTGTGTGATCTATATGTATATATTGCCGTCTCAATTTTACCTCATAACTTGTAAACACCTGACCCGTTTTTGATAAAGGATATCATTATATTTGTTTTTCTTGCGCTAGTATTTTGGACGCTAAAATATTACGAATATCTTTATTGTTTTTTCTCCTATCAAGTGGGATAACAAAAAGAGGGGTTTTTAAAATGTTTTCATGAAAAATATACTATTTTAACTTTATAAATCAGTAAGTTTTATAGTTTTTCCCTATTTTCATAGTATTTTTTTTCATAGGTAAAAAGCTAACTAGTTTTTTGTCTTACGAATTAACTATTAAATTTGAACTATTTAACACATTAAACTGTATACACAGCTCATGAATAAATTTCACAAAATGTTTTAGTAACTATATTAGGACCAACCTTCGAGACGGTGATAAATCGTTACTTGCTATACAAATAATTATATTTAAATGTAGGCTCAAAATAACCATTTAACGTGTTAGTGAATGCGACCATTCACCAACGCGTTGAATCACATCTGCACATTAATAATAGATATGAAATGTTATAGGATGTTTTTTTTTTTTGTTGAAGGGACTTACACATAAAATACTTCATACATACACAATCACGCCTATACCTCCTAAGAGGTAAGCAGACGTGCAATAGACACCCAAATGTCTACTATAATATTGATCCTACTAGCGTAACATGCCTATTTTCATCAATGCCTTTTGAGATTGAGTTGGGAAAATTGAGAGTTTAACATAAAAGAAATAGTATTTGAGATGGGGCGGCAAAAGTGGGAAAGAGACATTGCTTATATTGATGAATTGTAGGAATAGCTTGAATAAGACAGAGTCGCATAGCTTTAACTCGCACGGACTCTGACAAACTAAAGTCAGAAGTGGCTTGAGACTGACAACAGATGGTAAGCAAATGATTATAATTGTACACAAATCGTATTATAAATAAAGTACTATCAAGTGTATTCACTTGAGAATACTCTACTCTACCACAACCTTACTGTAGACATTCACACATAGACACACACACACACACACACACACACATCTCAAACACATTATTCCCGCGCCACATGTAATATAGTAGGCCAAAACCTCCTTTCTAAGGGGAGGCCTATGTCCAGCAGTATACTATTGAAGGCTGTTGATGATAATGATGATAACAAGTAATTCAGATAAAACCCCAGAGAATCAGAACGTACTTTGATATATTATATATATATATATATATATATATATATATATATATATATATATATATATATATATATATATATGTATATATATATATATATATATATATATATTTGCCACGCTGGGTTTGGTATAGGGTTTGTAGTTTTCCTTCTCTTTGCAGTGCTGTTGTCCTGTGTAATTTGCTTCCTTAATCTAATAATATTCTATCGCAAATACGATGGTAATATCTTCGAACTAAATATTGTTCTAGATAATCTAGAGTTATTCTGCAAGGTTTTGCCTTTAATTGTGCCTATTCTCTGTTTATTTTTAATTAAAGTCTGTTGACTAGTATTGTTCGTTGAGATAATATTGCAGAAAGTCACCTAGTCTCAGTTAAATAGCTACTTTGCATCATTTTCACTTTAATTTTAATTATGTAATCAATGAGAAATAAAATAATAATTACTTAAATAACAGTTTTTTTTTAATGTAATTTAAAATTAAGCGAATTAATCATTCCGAAGTTTTCTGTTTTATATACATTTACTCGCTTGTGAACATACCTCCAACCTACTGAACCTAACTGAAAATTGACTTTAAGTAATGCTGAAGTTTAGGCAAGTTTAGACTGACATGTCTTTTATCATAAGAGATAATAAACACCAACGTCTAACCATCAATGTAGCTATATCTGTAGATAAAAACAAATCATTAACTTTAAAAATAGTATCAACCTATATACAATATGAGTGCCATATTGGCACGATGCGATACGCATTGACGCAGGATGCAGTACGATGCTCTCAATAGTGTCACAGTGACAGACGCGGGAGGCCAATGATCTTTAAAATAAATTGAATTATTGCAATTATTACAAACTCACATCACATCACATCATCAGCCTGTAATAGTCCACTGCTGAACATAGGCCTCTCCTTAGAAAGGAGGTTTTGGCCTACTATACCACGCTGGCCAGACGGGTTGGTATAGGGTTTGTGACAAGTTTTCCTTCTTTTTGCAGAGCTGGTGTCCTGCGTTGTTTTGTATTATTACAAACTATGACTTAAAAAATATTTTTAAGTATAAGTAATTATAATGTTATAGAATAGTAGATAAGTATTATGAATCCTTAAATTCTAACGATTGATCTAACTAACGAGCAACGATTGATAGTAAAACCACTTTTTGAAAAACCCTATAACAGTCTACCGCTGGACATTGTACATTTCTGTCCATTGCTATCCGCGAATAGTCTGTTCCAGTTACCTACTTGAGGTCTAGTTTATCGGGCTGAGGGCGTCCAAGATTCTTTTTTCAGATCCAACGATCCAGAGCCTTTGACAGGCGTGATCCGCCAACTAAGGGTGGTTTAGCTTACCAGCTAAACCACTCTTAATGTCATATTTTTAGTTGAAAAACTCAAACTCAAACTCTCTTTATTTGATAAAAAAAAAAAAAAAAAAGTTTGAAATCGTCTTTTATGTAGACTCTAAAGTCATAGATTAACACAATCTCTGTTTTGTCAAATAGTAAGCAAATAAATTTAACAACAATCAAACACATACAAAATCTATGATATGCCTGCGCCGATCTACAAGCGCCCGTTTCCAAGGGGTTGAGCCTTATGAGAAGAAAGGGCAAACAAACTCATGGCCACTCTTTTGCAATTCGCAGATAGATACAATGGCACTATTAAATATACCACAACATTGTTTTGATGTGTGCCAGTATGTCCGTTATTAAGGACTAAAAGGTAAAAAGAAAATTAAGAGAAAACAAGATTAAGAAAAAAAAACTAATAAAAGAGAAAATGAAGTGAAACATAAAAAATAGAAAAAATAATAATAATAAAAAACACACTAGCCACATCACATTTTTACTTAAGAAAGAAATAGCCTGCGCTAATTAATCCCAAGCATTCTTATCTTCCATGTAATCCACAATTGAGTAGTAGGCCCTCTGGCACAAGCCACGTTTTATTGCGGATTTAAATTTGTTAATACTTAACTCTTGAATGTTATTGGGGATTTTATTATAAAATGGGACACATTGACCTCGAAAAGACTTGTTTATCTTTCGGAGCCTTTTTTTTTTTCCGTGCGGAAATCTCCTCGGATACCACTATCGGTGGCATGTCGGACTCGAACCGACTAAAACCGCACGCCGTCTCGGGTACTAATAGCCGTGGAACCAGGTATACCCTAGAAAGCAAGTCCCTGGTGCCCCGACATACCTCGGGCCATTTACAGACGAGTAGACCCCCCCCCCGGGGGCGGGGAACCCCATGTTCCCCGCCGCTCGCCGCCACCCCGGCCTGCTTCTGCTAGGGTGACAGATGTCCTCACCTGTCACCCCCAGGCCTGCGCTTATGGAGGACGGAGGTTGTTCTGCGACCTCCGGCGCCCGAGTCGCCTGTGGTACCTGGCCCGTTCCCGGGCCTAGCGGGCCGGGAGAGTTCTAAACCTCTCCCGGTCCCGCTCCGCCGTCTCCTTCGCAAGCATAACTTGCTCGCAGAAGGAGACGACAGAGTTCCACGCACTCTCGCTCCGCACGAAAGCCGCAATCAGGCTATCGAGCGAGAGAACTCCCACTACGATGACCGCCACGAGGTCTCGCCTCTGCTCAACCCACGCCGGGAACTCTGCCGGCGTGTGGAGAGCCGTGTCCACAGTCTGGCCATCCCAGTAGTGGCACTCAGGCGTTGGCTCCTTGCGGATCAGACACAGGTGTTCCCCGAAACATCCTTTCCCAGTGATCACCTGCGTCAGTTGGAATGAGAGGGTCCCGTGACGCCTCTCGAGCCAATCCTCCATAACGGGTCTTACCGCCGCGATGACGGCGTGCCCGTTATCTTTTGGAGCCTAGAGGCGGGTACTACAAGTTTATTTCTATAACTGATATTTATATCTAAAAAATCTAATTTATTACTTAAGAACAAACCTTAAAAGCTTCCAAACTCTATTGGACAACTTAACATAACGCAAAAATTAACTGTAGTTATTAACAACAAGGAATATTTCTTTCAATTTATTATTCTATGAATGTATGTCTTTTTTTTGCGGATCCTGTTTCTCTTTGCTTTTAATTATTTCATAGTGTACTTGCAAAAAAGGTAATAACTGGTATACCTGATATAATTTTCTGACAGTTAATACGTATGAATATACATATGATATTATTGTTACAGAAGAAATTTTGGGTACCCGATCAGCACTGTGGATGTCAGCAGACGGACACATGGTGCTATACGCCACCTTCAACGACAGTCTCGTACACGAACAGAAGTATCCTTGGTATGGAGCAGCTCTGGATACCGATGATCCAGCCAAGGTAATTTATAAAAATAATAACATGGGCCATATAGAACACATGGGGCACTAGAACGTCTTGATGGCCCTCTTGAATCTTCTGGTGTAGTAGTATAGTAGAGACTAACCTAGTTTAATGTCTTAGAAGTGTAAATAAAATACTGTAATTTCGTTAACCCTACCTACAGTCAAGGACACTATGTAACATAATCATTGGAGATAATTCTATTTCTCGAATCTAAACTCAAAATAAAAAACTTTTTAACAAAATTATCATAGTGAATATGTTGGACACAATTACTCACCGTACATTATTTATTTCATCCAGACATATCCAGAGATCAGGAGCGTTCGTTACCCGAAGCCAGGGACCAACAATCCAACGGTGACTCTCACGGTGGCTGATATCGCAGACCCAAAGCACATACGAACGAGGCACCTCACGCCGCCGAAAGTTATACTTGAAGAGGGGTAAGTTTAGAATCACAATTTGACGCGTTTTCGTGCAAAATGAATAAGTTGTAACTTAACCTACTTGCTGTTTAAACAAACAGATTAATGGCATACATAAATCATCAGTTCACATTATCATATTACATCCTCTTAATAAATGTAATACTTTAAGATTTCTGGCACTAATACGTCTGGCCGTTCTGCCTCCTAAATGATAGTCTTGGAAAGACTGCTTTTTTTAAACCATATTATACTAAATATTATTTTAATTTAGTATACCATGCTTGTATTAAAAAACCACTTGTCTCAGTATCATCATCATCATCTTCTTACACTTTTCCCCAACTTATTTGGGGTTAGTGCAATGAGCTTTCATCTGCTATTCCTCTCTATCATTCGACAAATCACTAGTCTATTTTTATTTAATCTGGCACTTTGCTTAAAAAGAAATAATAAACAATTTAGCAATTTAACATTTATAATATTTTATTCGTTCGTGTGTAGTACACATAATTATACATTAATTTGCTCAAAGTAATAACTTAAATATCATAAAAAAGTTATGAAAGAAGTGACACATCAATCCTTTATGAACCACAATAAGAATCCTGTTTCCAAGCCACTATAAGCCATAAAAAGAGCAAGATAAACTGTCTGAAATCCCTTAAAATATATCTGGTATTGCAGCAGACTTAATTTAAGGCGAATACGATGTGAAACTGAATATTTAAAATAAACTTTCTCGATTAAAATTGAAATTTAAAATTGATATTAAGGTTTATGTTTATTTGAATGTTCTGTAGCATGTGCGAACATTTTGTTTTACTTTGTGATTGTATTTCGTGTGGAAGCAACTAATTGATATTCAGAACTGGTATTAAAATTAAACGTTTATTAACTTTTTAACTGGTTTTCATAACATGATAATGATCTGATCTCATATCGTTTTGAGGATTAGTCTAAGAGGTAACACTAACTTAAGAATGGGTTTGTTTGTTACGATTATGCACTTAATTATCAGTTAATTGCACTACTTAAATAATTATCACGATTATCACAAAATCTGATCAATAATAAAAAAAAAGTAGCCAAAGTATTTATGATTTAGACGAGTTAGGTGATGAAACAGCGTATTACTGTGACCATTGTTGGACTATACCAAATCAATATTAATTGTATCCGGTAATTGTGTATGTACTCGTATATCCGTACCGCTAGGTTATTTTGTTAGGTCAACTTCTAAAAAAACTAATAGATTTTATGCCGTTCCAGAGACTATTACTTCACAAGCGCTCAGTGGGTGTCTCTCACGGAGGTGTGTGTCGTGTGGCTCACAAGGATGCAGAATCTATCTGTTGTTTCGGTCTGCAAAAGCCCTATGTGGTATTGTCAAGAGGTCAGTGTTAACTGCAACATTTCTCATATATATTTGGTCACAACAAACAAACTCTTTAACTTTATAATATTAGTATAGACATAAGCTTTAATGAATTGCTTATTTTAGTAAATAAATTATCAAGTGTCATGAAAAAATAGTACGGATAATCCAGTCTCTTTCAACAGGTATACAGAATATCAGCTACAGAAGGCTGGGTGGAATCAGCCCCTGCTCCACTTTGGTCTGCAGGGGGAGGTGCTCTCGTGACCCTGGCTCCAGTGAGAGATGGTCCAGCAGGCTTATTTCGTCACATAGTGAGGACTGAACACAACGCACACGGACCTAGAGCTCTTCCATTAACACATGGAAGTTTCGATGTGGTGCAGCTGTTGGCATGGGACCATGCGAATCAACACATGTAAGTGTTTCAGTAATGGTTCATCCTCATCAACAGCCTTTACTAGTCTACTGCTGGATAGAGGCCTCTCCTTAGAAAGGAGGTTTTGGCCTACTATACCACACTAGCCAGACCTGTTGGTAGTGCTGTTGTCCTAGGTAGTTTGCTCCCTTAGTCGGCTCTTACGACAGCCACGGGATGAATAGGGGTGGTGATACTCCGTATTCTAAATCCGTCACCACGCGGAATAATGGTTACTCTAATGAATTTACCGTGGGAGAGCCATGCTTTTACACGTAGGTATGGCTATGGTTGGAATGGTATGGTATGGTTGGTATGAGTACGGTTTGATAAGACAGGAGTGAACTGACCATGCCTCACATACAAGTGGCACTGAGCAATTCATTAGTCGCACAAAACCTACTCTGTCTTACAACTGATATTCTGTTGCAGTTACTACATGGGTATACCGGAGGGTAAACCAGGCCAACAGCATCTTTATCGGGTGTCATCTGAAGCTCCTCGACCAGGCTCGCCTCAGAAACTGCCCTACTGTGTCACCTGTAACTCACAGGCAAGTGTTTTCCAACTGTGAGCTGAAAATTTACACACCATTATTTGTAGCATACCAAAAATCGAAAGTTGCTTGTTAAGAATTAATAATATAACCATTTGCAATAGCATTACTGCTTGTAAGGGTTGGTCCCGAAAACATAGGAAAATTTTCAAGTTTCATCTGCATTTACAGAAACTGCTTTAGTCCTAAGGTTCATAGCGTGACGTTAAATAGCCTATATTTTTTCTTACAAACAGGGTTATTAAAAGAAAAAAGTGTTTTTGTAATCCGACGGCTAGTTCTAGAGACTACCGCATTAGACAATATAAAACAAAGTCTATAACTCTATAAATTTGTTTCTTGTAATGCCATTATATTTTTTCCCCGAATTCGTGTAAATATTTACAAGATATAAAACAACTCATAATTCTAATGTTTTTTGTCTATCATCTATCTGTCTGTTTGTTTGTTCCGGAACACCTTCCCGGACTGGGTGAAATGATTTTCACGTGACATACAGGTATATGTAGATACATAACCACTCCGTAACTTCTTCTACAATAAGCTGTATATAACGTAACTTACAAATATATATTGCACTAACGCAATACAAATATTTAAGTAGCAAATTTATTTGTTCAATCTTATAAGAAAGTTTTTACTTTTCAAAACAGGCACGTGTCTAAACAAAAGAATAAGATAGGCAATAAACAATGTAATAAAGCGGAAAACAGAAAAATATGGCGACGGGTTAATATACCTCGAATCTTAATATACCCAGAGCATTACCATAAAAAACTACGGAAAATTTAAGATCTTTCATCAATTATACGAAGGAACCCTTGGTAAACAAATTCATTGTCATGTAAAACAAGATAACAGAATCATTTATATTATTGTCAAATCGTATGAGATGTTTGTTTGTCCAGTAACGATGAAAAAGTTTTTAGGGATCCGTTCCTAAAAAGGAAAAAGAAACCCTTTTAAAATGACTTTGTGTCTCGCTTCTGTCTTTGTTCTCAGGAACCCGTATAAGAATAAAGTTGAAATTAACATAACATACTTATGTTTGAGCTCCCTGGAAATTGTTAAAATTAGACTTATATAAATCATGTCCATCGAAAAATACTTTTAATTTGGCAAGAAGCGAGGTCTCACAGAACAAATAAAAGAACAAGAAAACAAGTTGAGTATATTTTGAACAGGAAACTAATTCTAGTCTATCCATGAACTATCGTCTAAGTCAATAAAACCCCAGGAAAAGAAAGAAAAATATTTTAAGCTATTGATTATTTCAATTAACTTTATCATTTGAATTTGAATTTTTAGTGTTACCATTTTACAGCCATTTTTTCAAGTAGTGGAAATACTGTCCAATAAAGTGTCGTGATATGATTATCATTTAATAGTAATATGGTAATCAGAGAATAGTTTTATTATTGTAGGTATTGAATCAATAAGGAATGTAGTTATTATCAAATTGGTATTAATATTTTAGTAATGAAAGTAAAGTGGTACATCATTAAATTATTTGAAAATCCTGTAGTAGAATATAAGGCAGTAAAAAATAAATAAAGCTGCTGAAAAAACCATTGACCAACCACAAAAAGAAATTTAAACATAAATTTCTAGTAAATTTGCTGTACTCTGTACTAATAATAATATAAAGACTAAACGTCTGACTGGTCTGACGCGACAGGCGGCGAATGGCCGCCGCCAATTACACTAGTTTAGGTTTAGAATTTACAATTCATTACATGTTAAAATAGATAATAAATTAAGGACTTATTGGATGATAACTATGCATACATACATAAGATGATTATTTCATGCATCAGACACATTAGAAGTGACATAAAAATATAACCTACGAAAATTCAACAGCTAGTTGATTATAATAATTCTTTAATATATATATTTTTCATTTAAATGGCACACATACAGTTATAATTATCAAATAATGATGTAAAACAATACAAAAACCAATTTTAAGAGTCGATAGCCATAAAAAAATTGCTAAAATAAAGGAAAAGTCCCCCGCGACCCAGGATATATTCCTAATGCGGGAGTTGTCTTTTTTAGAATATAGAAAAAATATGCAGCTATGTTTTAAAATACTCTTTTTAGAAGAGTCAACAGATAAAACAAATGCAGTGCGTATCTAAAAAAATCAAATGCTAATATCTTTTTCCCTAGCCTTTCCCAAATAAAAATCGTTTTACACGTAGATTATAAAAAAAAACGTTTTTTTTTTATTTTTTACTGGATGCGCTGCAATTTGACTTAATTTTTTTTTTTATGGAGACTCGCCATTGTTCTTTCGTTAGATTTCTATTTGGCGGTTGAAAAGTTACTCATCTTTTTTTATATTGGCATTTCAGATACAAAAATTTAAAATTTCTCCTAGTTTATGTGGAACCCTGTAAACGCATTTCAGGCTAATACATTTGTACCTTATATTTCATGTCTTCTCCTTAATATTTTAGGAAAGTCAAACAAATAAATCCTCCGAATCCAAGAATACGTCCTTACCAAATTTCACTATGATGAAATTTTTGTCTGCATCAGGGAAGTTTTAAATCCTTTATACCTGTGCAAAGACTAAACACACTTCATCAAAAATTGACGTGACATGAAATTTCTTGCTCCGTGACCTTTCCGTTTATAGCGAAGTATGTGTTTAAATTAAACACTGTTTACATAAGATATTTGTATTTATTAGATATAGACCTTTTAAATTAATCTAGATGTGAAATTTGAGATCATTATAGCTAAAATTTATCGTCCACGCCTTTTATGTATAGTAACTCTATACAGTTAACAGAAAATCTAGATAAAATGACCTACATTTCGTAAGAACTACGTACTACACAGAAATACTTAAACATTTCGAACAAAAAATTTCTTAGAAAGGTCTTCGAATTTTAAATGGTAGTTTAAAAAGTCCATTTGAATAAAGTCTCGAGTTCCACGCTTTTTATTGAATTTAAAACACTAAGATTAATGTTTATACATTTCTTTGCGATATTTCAATCTCACATGATATTTGTATAGCATTTATTTCATTTTGAACCATTTTGAATAGACCTAAAGCATATATTTCTAGAAATGTAATTATCGCCTATATTGTTTCTGCTTTTGCCTCATCATGCCACTTCAGACAATGCAGTATTAGATAAATTAACTTCGTTTTATAGTCAATGTTGTGATCAAATGAAATGCGACATAAGTGTTTTATCTACATAAATATATTTTTTCGAATATGGAATTCCCACAGCACAAAAGTAACGTAACTATATTTACTTAGCTCTCCACATACTAAACATTTGTGATGCTTTCCCCCAGCATAAAAAAAAAACAGTGTTTCACTAAATCATACCTCTTTTAACCAGCCCTCTCCATCAATAAACTTGGAATACTACGGCAGCCTGGCATCTTCAGGAGACAGCACCTGGGACTCGGAGTGGGATGAAGAGCTTCCTGCCACGTCACCATCACCCACGAAGAAAAAGAAGAAGAAGTATCTTGGTAGGATTTAGTTCTAAAGCTCCTTGAACTTTAATTATCTACTCTCAAATTGATTGGACCGCTGAAACATTTGTTTATATTGATTAGGTACATATGTTTCTATTTAAGGATCCAAATGCCAACATTCAAAAGAAGATAAATTTATTGTGGCATCTGATATTCTGCATCTACATTTTTGTATCTAGAGTTTCATCCCATTCATTCCTTTTTTTTACGTGTGGAAACCCCCTCGGTCCACCCCACCAGGGTTTGTGGCGGGGTGGTGTGTCGAAATCGGACCGACTGTAACCACACGGTGTGCCACTCTGTGCTTGTAATAGGAGGGATCCGGGAACTGCTGTTATAAAGACATCCGGACCACCAGATACACTCAGGGCGTTATAAATGCGGCTTATATTTTGTTCAGTTTTTTGTGCTAAAGTCACGTCTGTCATGGTCCCATAAAGATCAACAATCACAGCCTACCTTACCTTTCGCAGATGGTCTACAGCAAAATTTGCCATGTCTCTACCACGAGGCACACTTCAGTCCGTCGTCAGCATACTTCGTACTCGAGTGCCTGGGTCCCGGAGTACCCACTTTTAGTCTTCACAAAACTGCATTGCCGGATCCAAGACTAGTTGCGCACTTGGAAAATAACACCGTTGTCAAGGTATTTACTTTAAATTTAACTGGACACTGAAGGTTATCTTTATTATATTCTTATTATACAATTTTTGCTTTAAAAATATAGGAGGTTCTCAATTTCATGTAAAGTTCCTGTAACTTTGATAGAATCTTATTTTAAAAAGTACTAATTCTGCAAAGAGTTACCTGTGCCTGAATAATATTCGCATTTAACTTCAGCCAATGGATTTGACCTAATATATAAAATAAGTCAAATATTACCCAGGACAACCGTGTGGTGACGGATTAAGACTACGGATTGTCACCACCCCTTTTTATCCCATGGGTTACGACACCCCGACGGCGAGCAGCGAGCGGCAGGGAGGCGACTAAGGGAGTAACAAATAGTAGGCAAACTAAAAACCGAAAACCCGTCGGGCCAGCATGGCTAAAAACGTCGTTCTAAGGAGAGGCCTATTGAAAGCCCTGTTGATGATTACTAAGGAGTAAACGTATTACCTATAAACAAAGAGATCTACTGTAGAAGTAATATTTTCTTGGTCTTTCTCGTTTCATCCTATGCTTTTTAACAGCCCAACCAGGACTATAATTTACCTGAGTATTATTACGATATGACCTGGTATAAAAAACCATCAAAGCTAATTAATTTTTTTGTAAATGTAACTCAGAAATAAATACTATACAGTATACTACCTATATGAGTAAACATTATATACTACGTATAATACTTGCTTTAAAAACCATCTTTGTAAATATTTTCATAGAAATGTCAGAACTTGGTATTTGAAATATTCGCGGTCAATAGCATGGCTATCCAAACCACTTTAACCCAATACTTGTCCCTACTTGTAAGTTCCATCGCAGATTTATTGAATTTTTGCGTCCACTTTAAACGAAGTAAAAAACCAGAGTTGAATGGAAATACCTACGAGTATATGTCGTCTCGCAGAAGAAGTTTAGTATATATCCGTAAATGCCACAAACATGTTAGAGCATGCGTCAATCTACAGGTGAGAACAATCCCAGTAAAGCCATTACGATCGTAGAGCTCGACTAATCTGTCTTCGAGGAGTAGCTGAGCTATTTCCCTCGCTTTATATGTAGGTTATACGGAGATATAGAGCGACCTCAAATAAAGATTCCTGTAGATCATAAAGTTTTTTGTAGAGCAGAGTTAGCATATCATGTAATCCTGGAGTGCGAATATGAAGCAGTCACAAAGAGCTAGTATGAGTGCGAAGTCGCTTCTAGGTTCACTCGTTCACTTAAGTGGGAAATTAGAAGAAGAAGTTCCCGTTACTGGAGTCCATTACGTCCATTATTCTTAGCACGTCTAGTATACATCTTACAAAAAATAAAAATCGTTAGGAAAAGTCGCCTAGAAATAATAGTCAGTTTAAAAAAATTTAAACAGAAAAAGACCTCAATTACAATGCTATAAATTTATTCATTGCACATTCAATTTTATCTTTTCAATTTTCAGCGCTGTTTATTTATTTACATTAATATCAGACCTATGGCTTACAAATTTAGGGTTTGCTTCATGAATATGATATATTAGGATCAACCCCTAATGCTACTTTAACTTTTACTAAGAGATAAATAACAGCCCCATTACTCTTTGGCAAAGAAAACAATATTTGTTTCTTGGCCTCGGTACTTTCTTGTCGCTTGACTTCGAAAATCTGAACAATAAACCGATCAAGTAAGATTTGGGCGGTGGCCAATATATTGAACGCTAACGCCTGGAAATCTCACCTGTTTCATAAAGTATAAGTCGAAAGCACCTCCTTAAAATACGATAAATGTAAGATTTTATAAATATAGTCCCTTCACAAGAGGTTTCAATACCTTACAATCAAAAACTGAGCAAAAAAAAAGGACTTCCAAATATGCCTTGTCCATTTTTATTATATTTTATTTTCTAAATGAGAATCATATTCTTACACCACATAATGAGCAGCAACTACCGTAACTGAATGTAAAAAAATTATATTATAATATTTCTTTCACCAAAAATTAAATTAAGACTGCCTCGGTGGTGCAGTGGTAACGTACGCGACTGCTGTGCTGAGGTCTCGGGTTCGATTCCCGGGTCGGATCAAATGTTTTTATGATCTGCAAATATTTGTTTCGGAATCTGAGTGTGTTCTAACTATTAACGCTTGGAAATCTCACCTGTGGAATAAGCAGTGCGGCATTTCGTATCAGTCAATCTAGCTTTCATAGTACAAGCTATGCTTAGTTTGAAACAAGATGGCTTTGTGTTTCAGGTGTCAAAAAATATTATTATTATTAAATTAATACCTAAGAGTAACAAGCTTTAGGAATCAATTTATATCTAAAATATGCTATTGTATCACAATACATAACACACAACACAATTACGAACGTAACAAAGCATATAGAAACCGTACTAACATTAAATAATTATTTTAACCACCTATAATCCATACTAATATTATAAATGCGTCTGTCTGTCTATCTGTTACCTCTTCACGCCTAAACCGCTGAACCGATTAAGATGAAATTGGGTATAAAGGTAGTTTGAGTCCCGGGAAAGGACATGGGATAGATTTTATCTCAGAAATCATTCTTGTAGGGGGTGGAAAGGGCAGTTGAAGATTGTATGGGGAAACAATAACCGCTGCACCGATTTAGATGAAATTTGGCATAGATCGGCTACTTTTTACCGTGATGACCGGCGGAGCCGCGGGCGTAAGCTAGTTGTTTATAATTTAATATTAGCAAGTACCATTTCTGTAGACATTACGATACACGTGATAAATTGATTCTAAGTCACATGATTCACTACACAATGGAAGCGAAAGTAAGACGGAGTCGTATTGTAATAATTGAAGTTACGCAGTTCGTGTAATAACACGATAGTGACGTTATATATTATGTACATGTGTTATATGTTACGTAATGGCGTTGTTGCCTTTGGTGATAAGTAGTACGTGTTCATTAGACAGCTGTAGCACTGACGTTCAGGCGAACGGTTGTGTTAATGGAACGGCACACAAGGCAAGTGCAAAAAGCTGGAAAATCGCTTCGAGCAGCAAAAACGTTTTGAGCAGTGCGGCATTTCCAGTAAGCGGCTATTTTAATCACTACCATGTCCTAGTCATTTTACAGCGTTTTAACAGTTAGTTTAGATCTTAGCATCGATATACAGACAGAAATACTCCTCGGGAACAGTACTTTTCCATACGTTTTTTTTATGTAGGGGATAAAAGGGGACTGGTAGATGGTAGGTAACTACTGCTACCCATAGATACCTGCTAATAAAAGGCACAAGTACAAGTGCCGCCTTTAAACCTTTTTTCAGAATTAGGGGGAAGGGGACGTTTAGATAGTAAAATTACTTCACGCAAAGTGAGACCACGTCTTAAACTACGAATTGAATTGAGAACCTTCTTCTATAACAAACCTAGTTATCGTCTGCGGTATTTCCGGACCGATACGACCTTCAAACCTTCAAGAAAAGAGCGTACTCCTTCCTAAAAGGCCGGCAACGCATTTGTGACTCCTGAGTTGCAGACTTTCATAGCCGGCGATGTTCACTTTCCATTAGGTGACCAGCCTGCTCGTGTGCTCCCTATAAAATAAAAAATAAAATAAATAAATTTATACTTCAATTGTAAAAAACAATAATTTATTTCTACACATTTTTAAAATAATAGCTTTGAAACATGATATCATTAATACGTAAAATCATTAGGCACTTGTCGTTATGTTGCTCCTATAATTATCTAAAATATGTAATTAAAAGATGTGCCTACCTTTTTTAGGTCCTTATCAATTTATTTAAATAATTCCTTTAATCCTCAGGAAAAGTTAGCAGCAATAGCGCTGCCAACACCCCGTACATTTTCCGTACAACTGTCAAGTGGACACGCAGCAAGAGTGAGACTCTTACTGCCTCCAGGCCTCAGAGAAGACGAAGTTACAAAGTATCCGTTAGTACTGAAAGTGTAAGTAAAACAAAACTAGACCTTATTCATTATTATAAATTTAGCTCTTGATATGATATAATCTATCTTCGCTTAATGCAGTGGATAAAAAGACATTAATACTCCTAATATATTGTAGATCTGATGCCATTTATGGTCGCTCCGACCTCACGTTTACCTCTTTAACTGATCTATTTTCTACTCATGTCACGATCATTTATGAAATAGCTTTGCACTTATAATAAACACTTTTGTTCGTTTGTATGCTGGATACATAGTCTGTAATTAACCAGGTAAACCTGTAATTAGGCATATTATTGTGTATGTTATTAAGTTCCAGACTACACGAATCGCGTTGTGGTTTAAGCGGTCACCTCGCCGCTTCCTACTGCGCTGAGTATTGTGGGTTCGATCCCCACATATGACAACACTTTGTGTGAGCCACAAATTATTGTTCTGAGTCTGGGTGCCTTTTGTGTCCGTTTCATGTATGTTTGTAAAGTCCCCCGCAACACAGGATATATTCCCGAAAATGTATCGCTGTTGAGTTTTAATGAATACATAATTAAGAACCTGGGTAAAACCATAGAGTTCAAATAATTAATCAGTTAAGGTCGTGGTCATAATTCCTCTTCGAGCGCGTCGTCCGTTATGTCCTTTTTATAAACGATGAACTTTTCTCCATCCTTATAAGGTAAGGAGTATTCAATACTTTTTATCTAAAAGCTTTAACATACATTATTGATCAAAAGAACACTGTTTGTTATTGAATAAAAGCATAAAACATGAAAACCCTAACATTTATAACATCGCTCTTCTCATATATCTAGTACCGAGCAAGATTACTTTTGTAACAATGGCTATTATAGCAATCAGAATAATTACTGACATTGTTAGAGAACCAATAATAACCATTAATGGGCTACAGCAGATTTATTTCTGGAAGTTAGATTAACGTGTCTGGAATATTATCTGGCAGTTATCTTCGTCTTTAGTGCTTTGTTATAGTTTGAAATTTGGAGTACTCTTGTAACTGCCTTGAGAAGTAATGCAGGCAGATATTGTTTCCAGTCTGTCCACTAGGAATGTTTTTACTTTTCCTCCAAATATTAACTTTAAAAGTAATGACGATTGCGTGCACGATTACATTTTGACAATGTTTTAAAGAAAGTTTAATTTGATTCTACAATAACCTCAATTTGTTTGTTACTGGATTTTTTCACTAGTATGTGTGCATTTAAAAAAAAACCCTGTTTTTGCCTAAGCGTTGAAAATGGTGCCTTCTATTTTTCATATACTTGAAGTACATCAAATAGTTTTATTAATTTAAACTCTTTTGACCAGGGTTATCAAAATCGCTAAATCAGCAACACTGAAAAGAAGTTCAACCGACTTCAAACAGTACTAACAAAGAGCACTAAAAACCTAGTTGCAATCTCAGTTGATTTGGTGTCATTTTTTGAAGAGTTCCGTTGTCTGTCTCCGAAACTCATCATTAGATTAATATGAAATTTGAATGGGACCATTTCGGAATAAACCCCTTTCGAATAAAAAAAAGAATTTTGAAAATCCGTCTATGTAACATATGAAGGAGTTATGCTTGAACATACACAAAAAAATATATAAACATCCGAATTGATAACCTCCTCCTTTTGAAGTTGGTTAAAAAGGTCTCCAATTTGCATCGCTGGGCGTATAAAAGAATATTCCAGACGATTTTTTTTACTAGACACGGAGCTCCTGGCACGCAGCTTGTAACAGAGCGCTGGTCCTTAGACTGGGGTTCATTAGCAGCTGGTGCTGGCGCCATTCTCGCTTCTGTAGATGCGAGAGGCGCCGGTGGACGAGGTCTTGGCGCTCATCACGCGCTACATCGACGGCTGGGAACCGTCGAATTAGCAGATCAGTTGGAAGTTGCCGAGTAAGTTATAAATAGCACTACAATATGGTCGACGTATACAGTTTGATATAGCTTACTGTATGCTAGGCAGAACCATCTTCAATAATAGGTAATATAAGCTGGGTATATGACCATAAACGCAGATGAATCTATATAATACTAGCTGACCCGGCAAACGTTGTATTGCAAAACAAAAAAAAAAAAAGGAAGGGTCACCCTTACCATTTAGGGGTATGAAAAATAGATGTTGGCCGATTCTCAGACCTACCCGATGTGCACACAAAATTTCATGAGAATCGGTCAAGCCGTTTCGGAGGAGTACGGGAACGAACATTGTGACACGAGAATTTTATATATAAGATACATATTACATTCATTTTACTATAGGAATAAATATAACCTTACACGAAATTTTTCTCTCTCCAGGTACCTCCGCGACTCCCTCCACTTTATAGATGCTCGCCGCGTCGCAGTGTGGGGAAGAGCACATGGAGGATTCCTCGCAGCGCTCGCCTTAGCCAGCACGTTGAACGTGTTCCATTGTGGGATTGCCCTTACACCTATTGTGCGTTGGCGATACTATGGTAAGTAACACACGATTACGTTTTAGTAAATTTGAAAGGACAGGTTCGTTTAATATTTTGACAACTTGAAATAATCCTTTAAAAACATTTTTTTACTCTTATTCATGGCAATTTATGGCATAAAATTGACTTCACCATGCCTCTTTGTACGATACACACTCTCAAATTCTGAGCATTATCGTTTGATTAGCTTATTGAAGGTCGATAGTCACAAAAAATGTCCCCCTATAGTTTTCTTGTTGGTTGAATTGTTGAATTTATTGAAACTAATTTATTTGTAATCTTATATCACAAACCTTTTTTTACTAAATTATATCTTGGGAGATATCAGAACTCTCTTTGTTCCACACAGCCTCGGCCTACGCGGAACGCTACATGGGTTTTCCAAACGCGACAGGCAACTACCGAGGGTATGCTGACGCTGACGTCACGAAACAAGCGGCAGCGTTACACGACAAAATGCTGCTCCTGGTACACGGGACAGCTGACAATAATGTCCATGTTCAACAAAGCATGGCGCTAGCAAGAGCGCTCTCTGACCAGGGGAGCATGTTCAGACAACAGGTTGGTCAACTTCAGAGAGCAGAGTATTTCTGCTTTAGCACGCATAATTTTCTTTGTAAACATCCATTCACTTATTAAACTTTTTTATTTAGTATTATAAACATTAAGGATAACATAAAAGAAAATAATTTTCTGTCTAAATATTAATAGATGAAAAAGATATTGATCGTAGGTTATGTCGGTAGGAATAAAATTAAAAATGAAGCTCTATGTTCAAAAGCAGCAAGTCTGAATCTGAAAATTTTCATACCACATTAGACTATCTTGTTAAATGTAGCTGTTGACTTTAATTGCCCATTCAGAGTGTCAAGTGCGAGTTTATTTCACATCAACTCACTCTCGACAGCAAGCGCGTTTGACGTTGCGATTGGTTAAGATTTCAATAGGAGCCAATCGCAGCGCCGTACGCTGTCACCGTGACGATCAAGTAGATGTGAAGTAAACTCGAACTTGGGACTCAGATATAAACAAATTATAATTAAGCAACATTAAGTTACACTTTTTAATATTATACGAGTATACGTAGCTCTGAAGGTGCTTCCGAAAATCATGAGCCGACAATTTTGCGCGAATTACAATACTTCACAACTAGGAAGCCATGGAGTTCAGTCACAAAAGCCTCTATACCTATCCCTCATAGTTTAATAATCAGTTGTTAACAGTTTGTCTCACCTAATCACCTTATCATCTTATTTAAATTTGTATCTTTTCTGCAGATCTACCCTGACGAGGGTCACAGCCTCGACGGCGTAAAACGACACTTGTACCGAACGATGTCAGCATTTCTGGACGACTGCTTCCGCAAACAGGTCCCGCCTGAGACCAAGGCAGGACTACGTAATGGTGGGAATCTGGACTGAGATACGTGGAGGGACGAGGAGTTGTGCTCTTGGTAAGGATATGTGGAGGAACGGATATTATGCCCTCTGACACAAAGGTTCTCCAACCAGGCGACGTCATCATGTATACGGGCCGCGACCCAACGGTCCATGTAGTAAAGTCCTATATGTTACTAATTAGCGGGAGGACTCTTATTGCGCGATACAGAATTAGTAGTTACTCGTAGTTCGTTAGATGATATTCCTCATACAACATATTTATATATTTACATATATATAAATATGTTGTATGAGGAAATCGCCACAGATAAGTCTATTTTGAGATATTACAGGCAGATTTAAATATAACGGCAACAAAGAACAAGAGAAAAATACAAAAACGCATTCTCGATACTTATAGTCAAACCGCCGTAAGCTTGGCCCTCCGGATGCTTTGCGGGACGCGGGACGGGTGATGCGCTCGGCTATACACGACACGATGTACTAACTCGATATCTTCAGATTTATTTGTTTGAGATTTAATCTACACACAATGTAATAAAAATCAAATTTATTTTCATCTATTATAATTTCAGTATATTGTAAGTTTTAATGATTAATAAAAATAAAACTTGTACAATTATTTTAATAAAATCACCTTATCTTCATTGTGTTAATTTTATTCAGATACAATTTAATAATTAAGTAATGTAATAAATATTCCTAATAGAACCTTTGTAAGCTGAACTTCAAAGGAGGCGCCAAATAATTCGAGTTTTAGAGTTTTAGACTTACGGAGGCATTCGACTTAGGCGGATTTTGTAAGGAAATATTCGACTTGTAAAAGTTTAGATTCTTTCTTTGATCATTTTCAATTTCTTTCATGATGTTTGATTCGTTTTTAATATTGTTAACAGAGTAGCACTCATTGGTAGGTCTAATTTTTAGGGTTGGTGTAGGTTTTGTTTAAAGTTTTTATTTTCTTTGCAGTACTGTTGTCCTGCGTAGTTTGCTCCCTTAGTCGACTCTTACGACACCCACGGGATGAATAGAGTTGGTGATACTCCCTATTCTTAATCCGTCACCACACAGATAATCGATATTTTCACTGTATATTAATCAAGTAACTTGAAATAAACACAAAAAGAAACTTTTAATAAAAATGAAAATTAAGCCAAATGTTCTTGAATCTTTTTGTGACGCAGAGTCGACAGATTATCCATGTTGCAAAATAATACCGTGTGTAGCAGTCTTAAGAAAAACAACACATACATCTTTCACGTCAGTTACTACCAGCGGACAGCGACACACTAGCTAACTGCTTGAGAGTACCCCGCCCCGCTTACGGCGGTTTGACTTTAAAAAACACAAGAGTAAAGGGGGTTCTTTTTCAATATTCCATGATTTCAAGTCTCACTGCAGTCTAATATTAAATCTCCAAATTACCATTAACTGTACTTTATTTAACAATACCTATGTATGACGTCACGGCTTAGTATTTCACACAAAAATACGTCCATCGTTTCGACGTTTCATTGAAAGATACTTTATTAAATTGACGGGCACTGTAGAAACTAAGAGTCGGCAAATTAAAAATGACTAATGAAATTACAATAATAACTTACTTATTTCTGTTTACAGGTAATAAATTAAACCACATTAATAATCAAATGAAGAGAGAACTTAGTGGTGTGCAAATAAACCAGTAGTACAATTTAACGCCATATCCAATGCGTAACTGCCATCGTCATAGTTGGTGTAACATAGGACTTACTTCATACAATAATATTATTAGTAATGCTTTGATTATATCGTAAATATTTTTGCTAAGTACGTCCGGGTATCGAAGAAATAGTTCAGTCTATGGTCCTTTACATATATTGGAGAAAAAACTTATCTTCCTAGTTAAGTACTATAGTTTCTAAGTACGTAAAGTATATAGTAGAGGAATATATTGGTGATATGAAAATTTAGTAGTTAATTTTACCACATAGAGACTTGTACAAGCACATTTAAGAGACAGAGGCAGTATTCGTAAGTGTTTACAGTGGTACTTACTACCTTTTGTATTTACAACAAAATTTTCGATATCACCAATATACTTTTCTGTACCTTATATGTATTAGATTTTAAAAACAGATATCAAATACTTAGCATCATTATTTACGAATTTAACGCAAACCGCTATTAAACGTGAAATTTTGAACCTCAATACAAAGATATAACACCAATATTATTATTTAAGTAAATCTATAACTTTTCAAAGTATTTTAAATAAACATATCGATATATAAATTGAAACAAACTTTCAAGAAATAATCAATAGAAAACTGTATTGAAGAAGAACCTTTTCTATTTTTCTTAAAATAAATACCAATAAATCTTTCAGCGCATGTAATATATTCGCGTATTATGTCTTCACTATTTATAGTCTAAACCCACATTCTTTCAATCTAAAACCAAATCGCAAAAATGCGCAAACAGAACTAAAAACTTATATAATTAACACGGAGATCCGTGTTTAGTCTAGTCTTAGTAAAAAAATATCTCGCAGATCCGCGTGAGTCTATATAAAATTTGACTTGCAGATCTGCGAAACTCTACATATAAAATTAACGCGTAGATCTCTTTAGTCTACATACAAAATGAACTTGTAGATCGGCGCGAGTCTACATAAAAAATAACTTGCAGGTCTACGCAAGTCTATATTTAGAATTAACTCGTAGATCCCCTCTACACACAATTGGAATTTGCAGATTTGCGTGAGTCTACATAAAAATGAAATTGCAAATCCGCGCAAGCAACGAATAATATTTGTCTATTATTCGTAATGCGCAAGTCTACATTCAATATGAACTCGTAGATCGCCTTAGTCTACACAAAAAATGAACTTGTATATCCGCTCGAGTCTACATACAATATTAAGTTGCAGACTGGTGCGAATCTACATACAAAATTGTTTACGTGTATAAAAGCTTTACACCAGCAATGTTTCATATATATAGACAAATAAAGGAATTGATAAATAGTTCTTTAGTCAATGAGTTTGTGATCTAGTAGTAAAATTGTTATAACTAGTGTTATCTTAATATCATAAATGCATTGTCATGTTTGAGACAAACTCCTTGTTTTTGGGAAGGTTGATAAATTAAATGAAGACGAAAAGGTTTGTAATGTAAATAAGAATTTATTATTGTAGGTATTTGTCCGGGCCGTGGATTGCACAAGTTTTAGATACATTAATTACATAACATGTGTAGTTAAACAAACTAGTGACTGCAGTACATGTTGACAAAACTTGGAACTACTAGCTTAATAAATTCTGAGCTTTTAACTCGTATAAATATAGTTAGTTGGCCGATGTTTTAACGATACAGAGTATTAGAACATCTGCACGAAGTTTTATTGGAGTTTAATAAGTTATTTTACTCCAGGATAAAAGTGATATTCGTTACTTCGAATGTAAAGTACTTATTAGATTAAAAAAAAGAAGAAAATATTAGTACTTGTATTTTACAATACTCGTAGCTGTTTTACTAACCAAATAGCTTTCATTTTTAAATGTAAGTAAAGACAGCGATAGGTCCTGTCTTTATTCTGTTCTCTCTCTTTAGTACTTCGTCCTTGAATATTACGATTCCATGACGATTCTGAAGCAATTCACGGCCTAAAATAAAAACTACTCAGATTGAGGTGAGTCATTAATCGTTGCAAACTTTTGCAATGTTAATAGAATTTATTCATATATATATTATTTAATCTTTAATTTTAATAACACACGATGATGGTAAAGTGTAATTTCTAAATGACAAATAATTGTACAGTTATTATTAATATTTCCCATTTAGGTAATGTAATACGCTTATTCGTGTTTTGTAAAATTTATGAGAGAAATTTTGACTGTGATGGTTACATCAGAAAGCAACTTTCATACATTTTACAAAATATTAACTAAATTTAATTAAACGAATATCCAAACATTTGATCTTTAAGTATAAAATTGCTCACTCTCATCAAAGTTTTGCATGTTTCTAGTCACTTCATTAATTAATAGTATTTAATATTAAATTTTATTAAAGACCAATAGTAAGTTAAAATATTTTAATAAAAATGAAATTAAAGTTTTAAAAACTAATTAGTGAACATTTTGAAAAACTTAGTAAGATTTAGCGCATTAGTTATTTATTAGTAACATTTGAAATACTAAATAAAGTTTTAATATGTAATTAAAGTATAACTAAACATAGCAATAAATGATAGTGAAATACCTCCGTTGTAAGTGAGCACTCTTCCGATTAAGCACTGTTATAATAATAGAGGATTATTGAGGTGTTACAATTGAAGAATACTGGACCCGTGTACTGTGAGGTTTTATTGTAGAGATATTGAGAGGAACAGTATTTATTACTATGCCGGCATTGATCAACGTATACAATGAACAAATGACAATTACACGTCGCAAGTGCTATAGTAATTGAAAAGCATCCTTATATGGATGTGAAAGCCACGCTCCAAGCAAAGCTAGAGAAGATGTGTCGTTTCCTAAACTTTTAAAACTTGTACGTACTTACTTTTTTTAATCCATTGTTTTTGGAAACTCTTTTTGGAAGCCCAAAGACAGTCATTATCCACTCTATTTAATTAATAATCTATTTTCAATAATTTTTTATTCATTTTAAATGACGTCGTCTTCAATATAGTTAATCTAATTTAAGGGGTTAATAACAAATATAGCTCCTATTTCTATCAACTACGTTTTATTATCTTTTAATTTATTTTTAGTAAAATGGAACGTATGAATAACTTCGAAATATAAAAATATGAGTGTCGTAGACAATTCTATTCATATTAAGACGTCATGAAGTGGTTAATTATGATTACAATAAAACCTTCGAGTACACAAGAGAAAGTTGTGTGAATAAGAATGCTCGAAAAGAATGTTGGAAATGAAAAATGGAAAAAGACCAAAGTGCCAAAGCATCGCGCTCGTTTAATCTCGTACGTTTGTGTAAGTGATTATTGTTATAAGTCCATTAGATTCA